ATTACAAAGTGTTATAAACCCAGTACTAGTATTAAGGTGAACCTAAAAGGTCACACTAATTATGAACAAAGGTAAAGATTGTATTTCTAATGGATAGAATTAATTGATAAATATCTAATTTGATTAGATGTTAATTAAAGGAATATATTAATCAATAAGATTGATTAATTACATTTTGGATATTACTTTAGTAATTAAGGTAATTACTAAATTAATAAAGTTGAATTTTAAAATAGGATTTTAAATTTCAAATCCAAAATAATAATAATATGATTATTATAATATGGATGAAAATTGGGAAATGAATATAATAATAAAGTTTTGGAATAGATTCTCAAGATTTATTATTCTATTATTATTTTTATCTTTAAATTTAAGGATTAAAATAATAATTATGAATATAATAAATGGTGGTTAATGGTGGTTATGAACCACCTCACATTGTTTAATATATATAAAGTCAATAGTTAGTAATTGTATTTAAATAAAATCAGATTTTATTTAAATATTACTAAATATTGATTATTTTATGCTAAAATGTTTAGTATAAATAGATGTAAATGGTTTACATAAATTGCTAATTTGATTTTCAAGAAAGTGTTCTTAAAATTCAAGAGTTAGAAGAAAAGTTCTTCACAATAACAAGAAAAGTTCTTGAGAGTTTCCTAAATTAAATCCATATAAATTCCTATACGAGAAAACCGAGTCATTCCTACTAGCGAAAGAAGGTCGTCGGAACCGGGATTCATAGGGTGGATACTGTTAGAGGGAAGACACTTGGATTCCTCAAGCGAGTAACCTCAATCCGTTGAAGTTATCAAACCGGGAACCGATTTCCTCAAGTTCATCGTTTGTGAAGGAGTTCAAGACAAATCGGTAAATATTTGTACTGGTATTTACTTTTATATAACAAATCAAAATTTGTATATGATGCATGTTTTAAAGATGACGATCAGTTAATTCGCAATTAGTATGTACGGGTGTTGTATTTATACGATAAATACTTACTTTGAAAAATTTTAAATTCCGCTGCTTAAAGCCCGTACGGTACTAGCGAACCCAACAGTAAGGACCCGAGGTGACCACACACACAGGTCAAGAGAGGATGATAAAACAAAGTAAAAGGAAAAATCCGAAGTAACGCAAGAAACGGGGCATTACCGGGTTCGAAGGACTTGCTATTGTATTCGGGGCAAAGACCGTGCAGGACCAAACTTTCCTCGGCAACCAGGTCTTTGTAATACCTCTTCCCGTCCGCAAGCCTTAACAAAGCCTTGACCTTCCCGACCAGCTCGTCGCTCAAGTCAACGCGCGGGTTATGGACTGAAAGGCAAATACCGACCTGTTAGCACAGAAAAATATATAATTAGAGAGAAAGAAACAAATAAGACATGCCACTCACATTTATCGGAAATGAACTGAGTAGACGGGCGCGGGGCTGTGTCTGGGGTCCTCCACTCGCTGCCGACCCAAAACCACTCCGGCATATAACCATGCAGCGATTCAGGGACCTTGTAGATCAAGGATTTGTCGATACCCGGGGACGCCGAGCTGTAGTAGTTTCCGGTCTCTCCGGACTTTTTGAAGACAAACAGAGCTCTCACGTCGTCGCTAGTCGGGTCAGCCCAGCCCTGCTGGCGGAACAGGACGATGAGGCTGACTAGCCGAGCAAAAATCGTTGGGACGAGTTGGCTGATGCCAATGTCGAGGTCACTGAGGATGTATCATTTAGGGCTACCGGCAACGGGAACCGGAGGCCGAGTAAAACGCTCGCCCGGTGCACTCCAATGCAGCCCGACGGCGGAATGTGCTCGCCGGCATAGGGGCAAACACTCTCACCCCGGATCCAAAGCACGCCTTGCCCCTCAACAGTGCCAGGTCGACGTCATCCAGAATTGACACGGTCGACCAGGCTTTCGTCGTCGACGACGTCGCCCAAACATGGGAAGGGCGGCGCCAACAACCGGGGGGTTCCGTGGTCGCGGCCTCGACCGCAGCGTCGATCTTGAGGTTCTCCAGACCCATGGGGACCCGCTCTCGCCCACGGGTATCGCCCTGAAGTGTCTCATCGACAAGATCGACATCGACGTTGGAGTCCTCAGGGGAAACGGTGCCGGTCTCCTTCTCGACCCCCTCGACGTCGGACTGCTCGGAGCCGAGGTCGATAATTTCGACTGTGGGGAAGTCAGAACGGCCCTCTTGCTGCGGGCCTGTCGCCGCCGCCACTGGAGTCACGCGGACGACTGAGATCGGCGTGACCCTGAGCGGTTGTGGCGTCTCCGCCACCGGTGAGGAATATACCACCAGTTCTCCAGTCTCCTCTGCCGTGTACCGCTCATCCCCGACGGGAATATTCACCGCGAAGTCGGAAGAGTTTGACATTATTGGAAAATAAGAGGAAAGATGTTGGAAAAAAAAAAGGAATTACCGGTGTGGAGGTCGCTGGAAAGCTCGAAAAATCTCGAAAACTGCCTTGGATTCTTGCTCGGAAACTCGGAAGCTCGGTCGCTCGAAGGATTTCAGAAACTGTAAAAGCCTCTCGAGGAAGACGATGGAGCCTCTTTATACGCGTCTCTGACCAACTGCAGATTGACACGTGGCGTGGCTTTTGAATTTCAAAAACTAAAGACGCAATCTGACGGACGAGGGAAACTTAATCCGATGGCTCAAACGCGATGTCGTGTCCTCACGCACCCAACAAAAACCGACGCTCGGAGAAGCGACACGCCGTTTGACACGGGCGAATCGCGCGACGCCACGTGGAAAGTCACTGACGCGGCGCAACTTTTCATCTCTGACAGGAAGCGTAATGGGCACGACGCATTAAATGGCCCGTTGCTTCAAATCCGAGGGAGACGCGCACAATGACAAACGAAATAACTTCGCCAAGTTAAGCTCACATACCGGACTCACACGTCGCCGAGCGACGACCAAAATAAGTGAACTCGGACGCATTCGAAAACGACGACCTCACAGGAGATACCGAAGGCACCCCCTCCAAGCTCGGGGGCCTGTATGTTGACATCCGAGTTCACCTCAAAAGGAAACCGGACATGCGGCAACTCCCAAAAGCCGAACCGGCTCGCAAACCCGAACCGGCTCTCCCACCAGCTCACAAGTGCCGAGCTGAATTCCGGTTTTGATTGACCCTGACACCCCCGCGGGTTCATCCACGAGCCCAGCGTTTGCGACATCCAAGTACCGGAGGCGACCCGGTGGGTGACGGACTGGAGAAAGGCTCCCCGGTGGCTGGAAGAACAAGACGGAATCGGGAGCCGGTCTGAGGTTCCAGGACGGTCCCCCCAGAGACGGAGGCCGAGGCCGAGGCCGAGTCCGATAATAATATAATAATGTCACTTAGAGAGCAATCATTGGTGATTGGACAGGGTGCCATAGCCTGCAGGTCTACATCTGCTAGCCAAGACATAAAGCCTGCCAGCATTAAATGACCTTCATGTGTGCATTAAATGCCTGCCAGGCAATGATGAGGAAAACCTCAAATCACATTTAATGCCTGTCAGAAAGACGTCGAACTGCTCAACCAGAGTACTGTACGACAAGGCCGGTGAACAGTACCTGAACAGTGCCACATTTAAGGCCACTATAAATAGCAGCCCACCTCATTTATTTCTGGGTTGTTGAATCTCCAACTTTCAGGCTCTCTCTCTACTTTCTCTCTCTAGACTCGTGTAAAACCTCTGTAAGAATTTGTAAGGATATTGCAAGTGCTGACCTCGTACGAGAGGCCGACCTCGTGATCGACTAATAAAATCATAATTAAACCGTATTTTTCTCCCTTTTTTCCTATTTCATATTTCTCATCTTGCTTCTTTAACCGTTGACCGAAAACGCCCGTCAACATCGGTTATGTCATAGAAAACATAATTAACTTATTTTAATATAAAAACTTGATTAATGAGTTAGAAAAAAAAAAGAAATAATATTTTAAATAAATGGTTTGAAAAAAAAGTTTACAATAGATTATTATTTAAAGTGCTTATGATTAGTTAGTAGTAGCTAATATGTAGTAAATAAATAAAAAATATAAATATCAAAGAGCGTAAAAACGAAAGAAATTATCACAAATGCTTTGACAACAATTATATATATATGGGGTTAGGTTCATATGAGAATGCTAGATAGTGAAAGAAATAAGAATGATTCTGGAACATTAGATGACAACAATTATATATATATAGGGTTAGGTTCATACGAGAATGCTAGATAGTGAAAGAAATAAGAATGATTCTGAAACATTAGATACATAAAATCAATGATCATGATGGAGTAAAAAATAAGCAATTGAAGTCAAAGTCATTAATAGTAATATAGTCATTTCTTATCATTAAGACTAATTAAGTCATTACAAAAAATCAACTCAGTGGGTCCCAACCACCAAACCTTAATATATCCCTCTCTCACACACTCACACACAAAACACACCTCAATTCTCCAACTCACGCACACACCGCGCACACACTCTCTCTCTCTATCGCCGGCCATCCTCCACCTCTGCCGCCTGCCCTCCTCCGTCTCCGCTATGACTTCCGCCATCATCAGGTCCATTTTCTCCTTCAACAAGAAGCCCCCCTGCCTCCACCCTCCCGGTCGCTGGAAACGGCGGCGATCCCCAAACCTTCCTCCAACCACCCCCACCGCCGGCACAGACGGTCGACGCCACCAGCCTTGACAAGAACGTCGCTATCGGCATAGCCAGTCCCCGTCACCAGCTCCGTCGAGCGTGTCGCCACCGCCTTGCAACCAACGCCACAATCAACCTCCAACAGAGTCGCCACCGCTACCACAACCCCGTCAACCTGCAACTAGGCAGAACGCCACCACTTACGGGCCGCGTAATCATTCTGCGATCTGTCGAACTCCATCGAGATGGTCGCGGTAGTATCGGAGACATCCACCGAGTAAGCCGGAAACTAGATCTGCAGATCAGCAACCGACAGTAATAACCGTCACCATACTCGTCGGACGCCGGGCGGTCTGAGATGTGGATCTGGTCGATTGACAAGATATCCTTCAATTTTTGGGCTGGCGGTGACAATTGAATAATGGAGGATGGAGAATAACGATTTCTGCAGAATTTTGGAAGATGATATGGGGGGTGTATTGGAAAAATTGATATGTTACAGGGATCTTGTTGCCTACAGGGCCGGATGAAGGGGTGGACTACGGTCCTCTTAGAATTAATAAAGAGAAGGAAATGGTTCTAGCTGACATGTACACTAAACTTGGAATTCCATGGGGGTACTGCCCCAAAGTGACTCTAAAAAGAGTTTCGAATATTCTAAAAAATGAATTTTCTTTTTGGTACAATCTAAAAAATGAATTTAACTTGGTAATGAATGCAAACTTTAGTACGAGTTTTGTCTCTTACGGAGTGTGATAGTGGATAGGACAGAAAAATGGGTCCCCTTTGATTAAATTCTTTACTGCTCACCAATTGATGCTGCTTTTCCTGTAATTAAAAAAATTGTGACTCGTCTCCAATCCTTGAATATTGTAGTGACACCGCTTGGTTGCCTGGCCTTTGTCAAGGTCCCGGGTTTAGTGGATGATTGTGACCAGGAGGCTGCCATTTGGTTGAACGAACTCTTATTGAGTGCTCCCAAAGAGTTCAGGGTCGGGTTGATGCACTTCTATTTTGCTGGATCTGAGGCCGATGCCCACAGTTTTATAAGGCTTTGTTTGCAAAGGAACCATGTTCAAGGCCCAAGACAATTTTGGATGGGAGCGTTGTACGGGTGGGCAACATTCAACCTTCATATTCAACAGAGGGAAACGACGGGGGATTATTACCATGGGTTTTCCTCCACACGCCGGCCACGGGTTCGGTTAAGCTTCGAGGGCGAAGCCTTCTGAACCGGAAGAGAATGGTATAGACTAGTATTATTTTTTTTATTATTAGCATTTATTATTATTATTAATATTGAATAGTTTGGTGAACAAGTTAGGTTTAGAGTTTAGGAGTCTTATTTAAAGACTCAATCGTCTTTGTTATCAGATGGTTGATATTGAATACGAAATTGTTTGGTTTTATCGTGTTTTGAGATTGAATTATCATTTATCTTTTCCACTCATACGATTTTCCTACATCAGCTTTCTAGCGGGCCTCTAATATCTCAGCCCGACCCACTATTTCGGCGGGGCGGGCCAGTTCGTTAACCATTTCCCATTTTGACTAGTCTATTCATACCCCTTGATTTCATGTTTAATTTCAATGGGTTGATCCAAAATTTATTTGGTTCTAGTATATCCATAGTTCTGAAAATCAGACCAGACCAGTCGGTTCAACCGGTTAGACCGAAAACCGACCTTTCTTCCAGTCCTGTTTGCTGCATCAAACCGCCCAGCGTGACAATCGGTCAAAAACCATTTGAACCAGTCTACAATCGGTTGGACAGGTGAACCAAGCGTGAGAATGGTTTTTGTATTAAGGATTTGTTTTTTATATATTTTTATTGGGGGTTGTAAAACGTTATTTCACTCTTTTATTAGGACATCATTACGCTCATTATAAATAAAAAAATCCACATATGAATTCATTTGTTCTATATTTTATTTCATTCCTGCAATGATATGTTTAATAAATAAATTAATTTATTTTACAAACTTACTCAGCAAAAATCATTCGATACCACGTGCATCGTACGTGCACTTTACTAGTTCCAATAAAAGGCCACGTGTCAAGCACACACACAGATCTCTCATTTTTTCTTATAAGAATAAGAGAGATTAATATATTTATAGTTTGGAAAAAAAAAAGACTTCGTAAAAATCCACCGCAAAGAATGAACGATTGTTGGTGATGATGACTTTGTCAAAATGACTTGTCCGCTAAGTACACTGATGTTGACTTTGTCAAAATCGACGTTGACGAACTCTCTGTACGTTTTCTTCTTCTCCGTATGAATGAACGATTGTTGGTGATGATGAATATTTACATAATGGGTTGTGAAATTTATGGTTTTTAGGATGTGGCGAGTGAGTTTGAAGTTCAGGCCATGCCAACATTTGTGTTACTAAAGCGAGGGAAAGTAGTTGAGAGGGTCATTGGAGCTAAGAAAGATGAACTGCAGAACAAGATTATCAAGCACAGGGAAGCTCCTAAATTTGCTGCCTGATCGTTTATTGAAGTCTTATTGTCGTGTAAGTTGATGAGAAATATAACTGCAGAGTATTTTCATGCCTCATGTTTTCAAGTTGTATGCTTTGTAATTACACAGCTTGATCATGATGATGATTGATGAGTGTTTTGACATTTTTACGTGAAATCTAGTTTTGAAAATGATAATTTGGATTCTAGCAACTGAAATTTTACAAAAGATTGTTGGGTATCTCTTGCTCCATTTGGATTCGTGGATATGAACTTGTAAGAACAAATCCGTTGACTGTGTTTGAATATATGATCATATTGTATTGGATTTCACTCACATCCTCAAGCTCCTAATTTAAGCCTATTTTAAGTTGTGGAATTTGTAATACATATCTAAAGATAAAAGTCCTCTCAAATTATCTCCTCAGAACCAGATCCTTTACTCCAAATCAGTTGTTGCTTACTAAGTTCACAAGTTTGTGTTGACTTGTCCAAATTAGTTCTTGCTTACTAAATGGATCCAGTGCTGTATTTTTCTGAAAACTGAACTTGTTGAATAGCACAATCCCAACGTGGTGATTATGAGATGAAGAAAAAATTATCCATTGTAAGTGATTCAAAAACAATCTTGTGATAGTAGTTCTCTGATGGTATAGTTGCTGATGGTATAGTCGCAGGGGCAGATGCTTTATGGAGTTGTGGTAGAGCTTAGTATTAGTACATGATACCTTATTAAGTAAATTTTTTTTTTTTTTTTGTGTGGCCTAGATGTCAGTTTAAGTGTAAATCACTCGCTTGCAGTGTTTTTAGCTGTTGCAATCATTAAGTCCCAAATCCATGATTGACAATGCAAGTGTAGTGGCCAATATGATGACGTTGAACCATTTTTATTGCTTAATGAAATTTGAGGTCCTAACTTGCTGCTTACTAGATGAAGGTTGCTGGGTGATTCTGCACTGTATGCTGCTGAGATATTATTCCAATATAGTATCTCCCCCACTTCTTCAACTTGTCAAAAACAATGATCAACATACCGCAGTGTATAAATTAATTAGCTTGTCTGAAAAAGCTACAATGAAAGGCCGGTGTTATCCCTTGTTGAGTTGGTAGAAAAATTGAGACCTTACGTTCAATCACATAGGATAATAGTGTTAAACAATGAATCTCTGAAGCAAATTTTAAGCCTGTCCCAAGTTTTCAGATGGTTGGCAAAGTGATAAGTTGAACTAGGGGAGTTTGATGTCAAATATCAAGGGTTCAATTGGCTGCAAGTTAAAACATAAAACTGATTTTTTCTGATTGGATAATTTTTTTTATTATTTAATTTAAAATCCAACTCAAATTTAATTTAATCTGACTCTTACCAATATTATCAATACAATTAAATAATATAAATCAATCATCTTTCCACGTCACAACAATTTTATTTTATTATTCATCTTTTCCAGATCACATTTTTTCACTACTTATGTTTTCCATTGACATATTTTCTACTTTTATATTACATCAAATTGGTGAGTTAGTGAGGAATTGTTTCGAGGAAGGAGCAACTTGTATACGCCAACTTCAGCACAACAAAAATCTGACAGCCATATTAAGCAAACAAGAATCACCAAGAAGAAGCAAGTACGTACTGCATGAAAATAATAATGAGGACAAAATTTTATCACTAATAACCTCCAGGAATTCTACGGCGCCCAATGGGGCGCCGTATGACAATACCACAACGTGATGTGGCTGATTATGCGGCTTTATTTATCATTATTATCATATTCCAAATTTCCAACATGGCACTGGCTTTAAATAAGATTTTCCATAACAAAACAATTAAACAATCCTACGTACTTAAGATTGTTCCCTGTTCCATAACTAATATTTCCTTAAGAATAAAACAATAATTATGAAAGAAATAAATTAGAAATCCTGAGAATCAAAGGCTCTCATAAAATCGAGGCTTCGACCGTGAAAACCTCTAGCTTTCGCAACTTTCTTTTGACCTTCACGATCAGAGCCTACTCCGCAGACGACCGACGGGCAGTCTGCACTCTCCAGGTGAGTATATACAAAGATGCACATGGATATAAAGATTAAAAAGGAGGCTTGATTATTTCATAAAAAATGCTCATATATCAGTAATCATGCAATACAAAAAATAAATAAATAAATATATATGCTTGAGAAAAAATTGAAAGCAAGAAATATTGTGTGTTATGCTCTGTTAGATATCGATAAGCAAGAACTTGGAAGGTTAAAAATGAATCTATACTTATATAATAAGAATTAACATTTATTCAAAATAGTAGGTCAAATTATGGTCAATGTCGGATTTGCATTAAATATTTTCCAAAACTGGTAAGTTTTTATTCTTTTCACACTTCTCATTAATTATATCCTTTTCACACATCTAATTAATTCATTAATTACGACATAATTATCATAAATCATTCCATCTGAGCTTTAAAATGTATAGCGATCTATTATGATCTTATCCCATTGATATTTCCATGAAACGTCCTTATCGCGTTCTATTTTTTAGTAATCACTCTATATCAATAACCGGATATTTGGTTAATGATAGCACACGTCTTTAGTTCAAAGAGCGGATATTCTTTGAGCTTTAATTAATTTGAACTGATTGCCTTGACTTTTCAATTTTTAAAAACTCTTTTTTTAAATATTTCGGCTTAAGATTTAGATTTCATTATACAAGTCACCGGATTGTTTGTATGAAAATGAATGAAAAGAACACCAAAAACAGGTAGCTTTATTCAGATAACCAATCCTAAAATATTAGTTTGTTCACCAAAAAGAGACAAATCCTAGAAATCCTAAAATATTAGTTTGTTCACCAAAAATATTAGTTTGATTTTTAGGATTTGTCTCTTTTGAAAATATTAGTTTGTGATAATGAGGAATTGCCAAATAATCAAACGCATAATGTTGTGTATAAGGAGGTTTTTAATAATATATGATTGTTACCGAACTTTTTATGATTCAACAATGTTCCTATGTATTTTAATGATTTCAATTTCGATCCTAATGCACGTGAGATTATATTATTCTTCCAAATTTTACGTCCCGTGCATCGCACGGGTTACGTACTAGTTTAATTTGATATGAAATACCTACTCGTTGAATATTTTTCATATAGTGCCAGGCTTGATGGAATGAGTGAAAGAACATTATTTAGAGTTAACTGTAGCTAATTCTTCCCCTGGCGAGACTGAAAGTTGGGTCATATTATTATTATTATTATTATTATTATTATTATTATTATTATTATTAGTGTGATATTGGCACAGGTTGTAAGATTGAACCTTTTGGTTTTTTATTAACTTAATGACATGATTTTTAAAAACGATAGATTTTGGATATGCACATTGTTGTGATGTCTCTTGTTGTGACTGCATAAAAAAGAGGCTGTACAGTCTGAACAATAACTTTTTAAGAAAGATTGAGGCATCATTTTGGTATAATAATGATGTGCTTGGTGGAGCTTAATGGAGAGCAGACAAAATAATGAAATAGGATGCTAGGCTGGCTTTGTTGATATTCTTTTTTAGTTCATCTAATTTATTATTATTGTTATTTTTTTTTCTCTTGCAATCAGCTTGCTTAATGTCGATCCAAAAGTTTGTGGCGCACTCCAAAACTGGAGATGTAAACGATGAAGATACTAGCCGGTCATTTGATGATCAAATTAACACGAGTTTAGCTGGTAAGTCATGATTATATATTAATCAATTTAATAACTTGGAATAATTTGTAAAGACTTGATCTTTCATATTTAATCTCAGATGGATGCGAAGCCTGTAATGATTACATTCCCCAGGTTGCATTAGCATCAATTCCTCATGAAAATCAAAGTTTCCGAACATTGGATGAAGTTAAAGACTTCTATATTGCTTATTCCAAAGAAAGTGGTTTTAGCGTCAGAGAAAAAATGACAGAAAAAACCACAAGCAAGAAGTCATATGGAAAATGTTCGTCTGCTATAAGGAAGGGACGAAGAATATGAGATACCAAGAAAAAGTTAAGCATGTTGTTTAACGAACTGGAGAACGGGAAAGAGGAGATGTTAGATGTAAGTGTCTGGCTAGGATGATTGTAAGCTGGAAAAAAGATGAACAACTTTGGAGAGTTTTAAAATTTAATGAGAAACACAATCATCCTCTTACCAGTCCAAGCAAGGTGCACGCTTTAAGAGTCCATAGGGATGTCTCACCTGCAATAAGGTCCCTTGCTGTCGAGTTTAGAAATGCCAATTTGAGAACATCTGATCTCCGAAGGGTACTTGAAAGTGATGCTGGGGTCCTGAAAAAATAGGCTGTCTAGAAAAAGACTTGTACAACAACGCTTCAAAAGTACAAAATGTGGTCACTGGACATGATGCTGAAACGTTAATTGGCCACTTTGAGACGGGAGAAGACAATATGTGACTCTTTCTATTTTGCTTATGAAACTCATGAGTCTGGTAATACACTTGATCGTTGTTACTAGTGTGATGAGCATGCAAGAAATTCTTTTGCTTGTTTTTCATAGGTGGTGGTATTTGACTCGACATTTGGCACCAACAAATATGGAATATTTTTTTGCCCCTTTGTTGGAGTGAATAATCATAACCAGACTATAGTTTTTGGTTGTGGTCTTTTGAGTAATCAGCGAGCCAAATCATTTTCTTGGTTATTTTCTTAGTTTCTCAATTCGATGCCAGAAAAACGTCAACCGGGGATGTTTATAACTGACCAAGATGCGGCTATTGCGGTGGCAGTTCATGAGGTATTTCCAGACACTGTGCATAGACTTTGCTTGTGGCACATACTTTCCAAGTTTCCGGAAAAAATAAATATCGCCATGCATGGAGATGACAAAACCAAATTGGTGCATGTTATCATGGACTCAGATGATCTTGAGGAGTTTGAGTCTCGATGATCGGAGTTGATGAGTACTACCTCTTTGAGTCAAAATAAATGGGTGAACGATATGTACACTATTCGGGCAATGTAGATCCCTGCATATTTGAAAAATATTTTCTTAGCAGGAATGTCGTCTTCACAACGTGCTGAAAGCAATCACTCCTTTTTTAAGAAATATTTGAGTCATGACTGTTCACTCAATGACGTGTTTACGCGGTTTAGGAATGCAATTTCGAGTCTAAGGCATAAAACTTTATTGCTATACCATGCCGACAAAAATGAGAAACCGTCGTTGAATCTACACAACCCATGGAGCGTCAGTTGTCGACAAGGTATATGAGGACAATATTTAAAAAGTTTCAAAATCAATTGAAGGTTTTGCCAGAGTACATCAGTAATCTCGTTGAAAAAAATGATGTAGTTTGTGTTCATGAAGTGTTCCCATTTAGTGGATCGAATTTGAAGGATAAAACTTATCGGGTGGCACAAAATGTTTCCACAAACTTTCTTTCATGTAGTTATCGGAAATTCAATGATATGGGGATTCCATGCAGGCACATGCTATATATGATGCAGGTAATCTTTTTTGTCAATTTATTGTATGTACTAATTTAAAAACACAATTTTATATGCATCTCATTTTATTTTATGTTGCTTTTTTATACAGGTTATGCAAATCAAGTTGTTGCCCGAAGAATATATTTTGTCTCGTTGGACACAAAAGGTAGGATCACCAGTTTCTTTTTAAACGGTGACTTCTCCACTCATCCAAGCACGAGGATATTTAGTGCGTAGCCGAGTTGTCTGAGAAGTGGAAATGGCTGATCGAAAAGGCTGCTTTGACCGAGAAATCTACTATAATGTTGCATCAAATGTTTGAAGAAGTAGAAAAAAAGTTAAAAGAGAATGAAGTTGTGACCCACATTGATACACAAGAGTCATTCTCGGGAAAAGAGCAGAAAGGTGAGGGTTTTGTAAGTGATCCAATAACTAATCGTGTAGTCTATGACCGCAAGCGATTACTAAGTATGCGAGATAAGGCAATTAAAAGTGGAGGCAAACATTGTCGCAATTGTGGCAAAGTTGGTCATAACGCCCGTACATGTCCTGAAATTAAAGGCAAAGGCAAAGACAGGTAATGTAATATTCTCATTCCTTTAAAAGAAATTTATTTTTAATTTTTATTCTTGTATCGTCTTTTGTTAATCTTGTAGAACTGCTGATGAAGTTGAGCCGTATCGCCCGTCACCTTTATCAAATAATATTATAGTCGAGGACAGTCAACAAATGGCGGTTCGAGATATGATCGACAATGTGGATGAGGGATATGATTATACGAGCATTTGGCGTTAATTGAGTTTTAACTTATAGTTCTATCTTTGTGAACAATATAAATCGCAGTATTTATTTTTCAGATATTGACTGCTGGATTTTTGTTGAAAAAGGCTTTTTTTGTTCTATGATAATATGTTGATCATTGTTTCGGGTTATATCGAAATTTGTTAAAAGCTTTTATCTGAAATGCAAGCTAGCAGTATACATATGCTTGTGTTTGGTTAACTTGTTGCTTTATTTGAGAATTGAGATTGATAAAAGTTAATAATTCAACTATGTGAAGAGTTTCTACAAGCTGAATGAGTTGGAGAGGGGTTTTGAATTTTTGTATCTGTTTTAGATTTTCACTAATTTGTAATGCATCTTCAGGTAGTCTCATTTTCAGTTTCTAGATTTTGAGTTAAAGAAAAAATATAATATGATCTTATTTTGTAAGAACTGTCAGTACAAATTGCAAAAATTTACACAGGTTGTGATATTGGTAGCTAGACAGGTATAGGGATCAAACATTAAATCTGGTATATCAAAAATAGTTAGACCATTGCCTTGTAACTTTACAATGGCAAACAGAAAAAGAAGTATTAAAGCAATTGATCCCTTATAACTAACTATGATGTGGTTTTATAATCATCATGTTAAAATTGATATAATGTGACCAATGAAATATTAAAATTTACAAGGATTCTCTACTCCCAATGGCAAAACATTATTACAATGGTAAATTCACAAAAGCTTCAAATTTCAGCAAAACAAAATTTAAAAAGAATATTTAAGATACAATGAAATAACCATTTTCTTAACATACAACTGGCTCATATTCTCTCTAATTTACATATTATTTTACAGATTGAATGATTTGTTGTGTACAACCCTGGTGATGGTGCATAGTATTCTTGTGATTCCTATTTCCTCTACAGTCATGCAGCAACTCACCAAGCAGAAAATCAAGAAGATGCTCGAAAAAAATACCATTGCAATTCATATCACTAATCTTGTACAAATATAAGGAAATTTACAACGAAACCCAAGCAAATACAAAAATCTACATCATACACCTCTCAACTTCATCCCATACATTTTTNGTATCAACAACGAGAAGGGTAAAGCCAAAAGAAGAAGAAAAGAAAAAAAAAAGTTGATCTTTTCAAGCTTTCATAACAATCAATGTTCTTCTCAAATTTCTCACATCTAACAAACCTTGATTTTCTTAAACAATCCCACAATCTCCTTCACTTCATCCCTCCACACTCATTTACAGTCACCAAGCAAACCCCACCACTCCTCACCATACCAACATGGGTAAAGGGACCAATCAGATACAACCCGAGCCCGAAATCAAATACCCCATCAAATAATGACAGGTTGTGGGGATCCACCCGAAAAACCAGAGGCGGCGAGCCCACCAGCCCCACGTCCCCTGTGTGTAGCCACCCGCCCCTCATCCGAAGGCCGCCCGCGTGGCACCCTCGTCCTTCAGGTACCCTTCATGACCCCGCTCCCCCTCACCGCGACCTCCCCAATTGTTTTCCCGTCCCGCGACACCGAGGGAGGAATAGGAGGCGATGGCGATTCGCGAAGTCCGAGTCCAGGTATGGGCGAGTTAAACAGGCTTGTGCCAGGATTTTGAGATAATCGTTATCTGATCAGCTTGTTTGGAGGTGAGAGGGACTGAATACGATGGTTTATGGGCTGCAACGAAATTGATTCTCCCCTTTCTGCAAAGCCCTAGAAATGTGATTTGGGGATTGGAATGTCGTAGCTTCTGTGTTGATAGTTGGGGATTTTTTTTTAAAAAAATAAAAAATAAAAAAAACAAAAATTGACATGTTGGAATTGAGAGATATAATTAATAAAGCCACATCACTAAGCCACATCATAATGTGGCATGGCTTATGGTGCCCATTAGGGTACCATAGTATTTCTGCTATAAACGAGGGTGAATGACAAAAACGTAAAACCCTATAATAAAAAAGTTGAGATGAATAGGAGGTTTGTATAAATTTCTCTCCATCCAACTATTCATGTTAAAGGTTTTACATTAAAAGTAAAAGAAATTGAGGAATTTAATAATGTCTAAATATTTGCTTTTTCTACCATCAATACATACATGACCCAACTCGAGATGTGTCGTGGATAAACAATGACTGTTGATCGCAAGTAACAATTTCCAATGTACAAGAATTCATGAAAACTCTTGTGATAAATCTATTGATGAACTCACTTACGCATCAAAGAATTTTAACGTGCACAATTAACATACATCTTGAAGTGACTTAAAAGTCACCCAAAACCCACCTTGCCACCAGACCTTGCGAGTCCTTAAAATTAGGAGCTAGATTGCAGGAGGGAAATGGAAATTCTATCAATGTTTGGGAATCTCCATGGATTCTTCAGTCCCCTAATTTTAAACCTTTATGTTGTTTTGAAGAGGATAAGGAGAGAATTTGCAAAGTGTATGATCTAATGACCCTAAATGGGACTCAGTGGGACCATGATTTGATAAATCAAACCTTTAACTCTGTGGATGCAACTCATATTTTGAAAATTCACATAAGTCACAGGAATGTGAAGGACATGTGGGGTTGGCATTGTGACAAACAGGGAAATTTTTCTGTGAAGGAGGCTTATAAACTCATCCAGAAGATGAAAGAAGATAACAAGGAGATGGTGGAATCTAGTTCAGCCAGGGAGAGGATGCAGAATATGTGGCAGAACACTTGGAATCTTAACATCAAACCCAAGGTCAAGAACTTCTTGTGGAGATGCTATCACAACTGGGTGGGCACAAAAGTAAACCTGAAAGTTAAAGGTGTGGTGGGAGATGTCATGTGTGATTGGTGTGGAGAAGGAAGAGGACCTGACTCATTTAATATTTACCTGTGAAAGAGCCTTGAGAATCTAGAAACTTGCTGGTATCACCTGGAATAGTGTCCAAAGAAAGGAAGCAAATTTTAAGGAGTGGTGGCAGGAGGTGTGCTCAATGCCTGACAATGATCACAACAGAGATATAATTTCCTTATCCACGTACCTATCATGGTGGATGTGGAAAACAAGAAATAGTTGGGTGTTTCAAAAGGAGAGCAAAGCAGAGATAGAAGTGGTGGAGGGAGCAAAACTTGAGTGGCTGGAATTTAATGCAGTTCAGAAGACTCAAAAGCAGGCTGGTAAGAGACTAGGTGGGAAACAGGGTCAGTTATTATGTGAGAGATAAAGAGTAGGGTTGCAGAGCAATGTAGCCAGTGATGCTGTCTCTGAAGCTCAGGATAACAATGGCAGGATTGAGGTGGAGCAACTAGAACCTGAAATTCACAACCTGTGGTGCTCTAGGGATGGGTCTTCAAACCATTCAGTGGAGGCAGGGCTGCTGGAGATCAGGGATTGGCTGGAAACTGGAAGCAGAATGGGATGGCAAAGAGCTCAAATCTTTATCACAGATAAGAAATTGCTTAGGCTGCAATGAGAAAACAAGGTTTCACCTCAGAAGTGTTTGTGTTGACTGCTGACATTTTCTCTTTAGTTGATGTGTATGCTAGTGTCCTGTTTTTACCTTGTACTTAAGTGTTTATGTATGTGAGCATTGCTAGCTTTAGTCCTGTTGGATTTGCTTTTGATGTTATGACCGTGTTGGTCTCTTAGGGGCATCTGTGAGAGTGGCCTCCTACTTGTGTTACTAGCCTAAGACTGGTGTTTGGTTGGGGCAAGTGCAACCTTTTGGTTGTTCGCATTGTACATTGAGTTTATGTTTCAGTAAAATTTAATGTTTCAGAGAAAAAAGACCAGACCTTGTGAAGTACAATTGGTTAAATCACGATAAAATATAAAAAATCATCCGTCTGTCAGTACTCACCTCACCCTGTCTAATAATCCAAGTCCCACTCCTCAAAATACATATCACATTTTTTTTTTTTTTTTCTTTTTTTTTTAACAAAAAGCAGTTACATGTATAATGAACTGTTTGAGGGAAGAAGGTTTAATCGCACAATATGTCTCCTTTTAATAAAGACTTAACAAAGCCACATAAGTTTGTCATGCCATGTAACTTTCTAAATCCCGAAAGATAGCACCAATACCTTACACAACAACAACAACAACAACATACCCACTATATTCCAAACTAGTTTGGGTCTGGGGGTCAGTTGTACGCAGATTTTACCCTTGTAATTATACAAGGAGGCTGTTTTCGTAGCGACCCAAGGTGTATTGCGCCGTTTGATATATATATATATATTTTTCTATAAACTTCACTAATAGAAGAAGCACTAGAATTTAATTGAGCCATTTTGATCTAGTCCATTATTAGCACTATGCCAAGAGAATTGTCAACAATGACTCTTCCAGCTCCATTTGCAATGGACATAATAGCACCAATACCTTGTTCTGCAAATTTTAGAAAGGTGAAATTGCAGCATAAGTTGAGAAGTGATGATGATCAAAATGAAGCGGAAGTGTTTTTGTTAATCGATTGGCACCAAGAGTGTTCCAAGTAGATTAGCCATAATATCTATAAATCGTGCGCTCTTATTATGCATTAAGGCTAGTAATAGTCACATGAAACGTAGACACATGAGACGTACAATGTACAATTTTGGACAGAAGAATTTGCCCGGTTTCATGACTTCCATGAATCCAACGTGTATTTAGTTGTTGCCCAAAAAGAAACTAGGCATAAAAGTGAATAATAATATACAGCTCTGAATAAAAAATGGGGCAACTTTTTTACACAAAAATCACATCATCTAGTTTCAAATTATACTGGAATGATTCTTGATGAAAGGCAAATCATTATTGTTGGGCAGTAAAAGTTACCAAATACACTCATGCTTGGAAAACCGAAGTATTGTTTGTTGATCACTCATTTGAATTTGGATATTGCCTCAAGTTTGCTGAAGATGAAGGCATAATTCATGGAGAAGTAGGAGCTGCTGGCAGGAATTCATTTGCAGCTGTCAAATGATAAAAAAAAGACGTTATTTTACAGGGGAATGAATTTGCATTCGCTTAGACATATCAACATTGAGAAAATAAAAAATAAAATACACAGACATTTACATAACTACCAGAGACTTAGCCATGCCATTAAAAAAATCAATCACCTTTAGAATTAGAAAAGCCCCTCTTGATGTTAGTTTCATTTCACAAACTACATCCTCAAGTTGGGGTGCTTGTTATGTATACACAAGCCTCAAGAGTTGTTATTTTTAGCACATTAAGGGAGCATCATGATTTGGAGATATAATTCAAGGTGTTATTAATTAGACTAAAAATCAAGGATAAGTTTTTCTATAACCCTATGACATTTCATAAGGTAAATACTAAAAGAGGGGATATTGGAACCTGGGAATCACATGCTTGGATACAAATTCAACCCAAAATATCCAATCATTTTTAACTCAACTTTACTCAACCCCACTATCATCAATATTATCAATATAATTAAATAATATCAATCAATCATTCTTACACACAATATCAACCTTAATTCATTATTCATCAACTCACATAATTTTAACTAACCATCACATCACATCACATCACATCTTCTCTTTCCTACTTTTACATGAACTTAATTTTAATAATTTTATTTTAAATATTATTTTAATATACCCACTAACAACTAACCATACCAACTTTTTCAAATTTAACCAATCCAATCAAAACAAAAAAAAATTTATATCCAAGCATAGTGATTGCTTTAAAGTAGCCAAATCATGCAGATTATCAGTTACTCATTGACAAAGTGTGACACTATCTCAGAGCATCACCAATGAACAAGTTGAAAGTTGCACCATTGGCTATAAGGAACCAACTTCTTTATAAGCCAAACCATGGAGTCAAAGAAATAGCTAAAAATGCTCTAACTGTATAAGCTTGCTATTATCAATTACTAAATGTAAACATAGTTCATATTTAAATTCTAAATAATAGACTTCAGTTAAATAAAGCAAAAGATTTACTTATTCATAAGTTAGTGTCAAAAGGGGGAACATGTTTGGAATGACATCTCAAGAAGTTGGCTGGCTTAGTCTAGCTTTTGGACTTCTACCAAGCTAAAATAGCTCAATTTTAAAGAACACGATCCCAAATGATTCTAGTAGTTAAAAAGTTATATTAGCAAGTCAAATACTCCTCACATCTAATTAGCAACCTCTTCATGCGTTGCAGATTTCTCCATGCATTTAACCAAGGTTGCATTTTGACAAAAAACATTTAATGATATTGATTTTAAGTTCATAATAAAAACACCATTCTCAGTGTTCCGCAAAGCTTGCATGATAAAACCCAATAGCTACAATCTTTTTTAACCCGAATCACAAGCACAAATTCTTTTTGGAGTTTGGACCACGGAACTAAAGCACTTTTTCCACCCCAGATGGGACTCTCACAATGGTACTATCAAGACCAAACTATAATACAAATTTTGAGTTTAAAATGAAAAATTACATAAAATCCCAACCGTGATCGCATCATTGTCGCACCACATGATCGCATCATGATAGTACCACATGATACTGTGTGATCGCCCCAAATGAGTTATGAAAGATATATTGTGAATTTTTGGTCCCAAGAAAAAACTTGAAACCTCATTTTATTGCGCTAAAAATAGCAATTAAGACTAAAAATTCAAACCCCTTTAAACTCCTTACTGGTATACTGCTTTGATTTATTTCCGATTGATTTAAACTCCACTTCATATAAGGTTTGTTACGAACCATTTCCCCTGATTCTCCCCTTCACCTCACATCCTTACATTATATCACACAAACGTCCCGTTCACAAGCATGCCTAACTAATAAAATATCCTTAATAAAAAATTTAGCAATACAACATGGAACATTTCAAGATAGGGTGAACGAATACAAACCTTTCGAAGTTGGTGGGACCACGACAACATGCATGGTGTTGTTGTTGGGAGGTAAAGCCAGCCGGAGTGGATAAAGCTTTCCATTCACAATGTTTCTCGAGCAAATGATTATATCCTCAAGCCCGGTTTCATCCTCCAACCTGTCAGTCAGCTCCTCCAAGCAATGCCCTTTAAACTGGAATGAACGTTCCTCAATCTCATCATTGACTTCCCCATCTTCATCCACCACGTAATAGTATATTAACCTGCCCTCTGATTTCTTTGGCGAGTCTTCAAATGAACCACTAGACTGGTCATAGGAAACACCAAAATATAATAAGTTCCAAGTAAAATACAGAAGATGGCGAGTGAACTTTTTCTTACTAAATCACCTTTATACAAATTAAATTATTCTGGAAAATGCATTCGTGATGCATAATTTTACAACTCAGATTTAATTAAGTACAATATAGGTCATATTAACAATTTCTTTCATTCATGTGTGCTTTTTATATAAGAACTGATGAGAAAATTCACTGTTCTGAAATCCACACATTTCTTCATTCCTTTCAAATGATTTCTATTTTATTTTTTATTTTTTTCTTTTCTCAAACAAGGGAAGGAAAAACTGACCACGCTTGGGATACGAATATGAAAGGAAGCAGAACCCAAATCCTCATCCAAAGAATCTGATCGCAAAACCCTAGGTGGTGACTCAGGCCGGACCTCAACGACATCAACCTCCCACAAAACCCAATCGTGGTGCCTATGAGGAATATCGTGGGTAATCGAGTTTCTCCATGGCGGCAGACCTCCGTTGGCCCGCAGGAAATTGCCGTACCTCGATTTCAGCTTCACCTGCATCCCGTCCCTAACAGGCTCCCACTCGACAGACGAGTCCAGCTTCCTCGGTAGGCTCTGGACGACCTTCCGGCCGGTTACCCCCAACAGGAACTCCTCGTCGCAAGCCGTGAGATATTTCCCGTACCGACTCTTCAGCCGGACCACGTTCTCGACGCCGTCTACAAATTCGACCGCCCACTTGGCGGAGATCGAGGTGCCTAATCGACCCTGGACGACGGTGTCCTCGTCAGGGTCCGCCGTTAGGTATTTGTCGTGGTGGCTCTTGAGCCTGACGGATTTGGCTTTTCTGAAGAATTCCATTCCAGAAACCTGTAATGGTCATCGATCGGCAGATCAATAAACTTGTGTTGGTTGAATTGATTTTACGAAAAAAATGAAAAAAAAAAAAAATAGAAAAAGAAAGGGGAGAGATGAAGATGGATGTGCGGTGTACAGAAAAATAACGTCCGAACTGACCTGATTTTCCGGTTACACCTAACCTGCGTCGTATGATTTAAAAAAAAAAATGGAAAACTTTATCTCCCTCCCAAATTATGGTGATCTTTTAGAGTTTGCCTTACAAATTCTTTTTCTTGATAATTTGCCTCCCATATTAACACTAATAATTTGCCTCCTCAGTTAAAAACTCTAATATGACAAAAAAAGTTTCTAATTCAATTAACAATAAATTTTAAATTAATCTTTAAAATTGATTTAGGGGTTTTAAAGTCTATGGCTAGATGAACAAAATATGGTATAGTTTGTCGATTTATAAAAACTGATACCTCTAGAATCGATCGACGAAGATACTAGGAGCACGTGTGTATAGAAAAAAAAAATTCAAATTCAAGTTTTCTGATAATCAAGATATCCGATTTTCGATTGGGAGGTGTCTTGAAAGCTTGCAGGACCAATTTTCTAATGTGTGAATCTTATGAAAATCCAACGGTCGGATTTTGATCAACAGTTAGAAAACTACTGATTAATAGTTAGCCTTTTTTAGGCTACTAACCGAAATCCAACTGTTGGATTTTCATAAGATTTACTTCGTTAGAAAATTCGTCTTCCAATCTTTCAAAGGACACATTTTAATGGAAAATTGAATACCTTGATTATCAGAAAACTTACATTGAAATTTTTTCTATACATACGTGCTCCTACTATCTTCGTCAATCTATTACAGAGGTATAAATTTTCAGAAATCGACAAACTGTACTTCATTTTGTTCGTCTCGCCTTGGGCTTTAAAAGCCCTAAAGCAATTCTAAAAGTTCAATTTATCGTTAATTGTGTTAAAAAAAATTGTGCCATATTAGGTTTTTCAATCGAGGAAGAAAATTGTTAGTTTCGATTATTATGATAGGCAAATTGTCAAGAAAAAAAGTTCGTAAGACAAACTCTAAAAATAGGTATAGTTTGGGAGGTTAAAAAAAAAAAAAAAAAAAACTTTGTGAAAAAGAGTCCAAATAAATGGGATTTTGGAGAAAAATCAGCAGATGAGTTATGGATTTATGCCAGTCCTTTGGTAAGTAAAATACGAGCAAAACTGCTTTATCTGATTTTTGCAATGTTTTAAATAGTGCCATATAATGCCCTCTGTAGTGCGCAATAATGCAATTTCTTCGATAAACACTTCATTTTTAGGGCGTGTTTGGATACAAAAATTTTCACTCAAAGTGTAATTTTTTGGTTAATTAGAGTTAATTTAGGAAAATATGGTATGAAGTTATGGTTAGTTAGAATTATGTGAGTGGATGAACAATGAATTAAAGTAGATGTGAGATGTAAGAATGATTGGGTAATATTATTTAATTATATTGATAATATTGAGGACAGTGGACTTGAGTTAAAGTTGAGTTAGATTTTGAGTTGAAAAAAATTTTGAGTGAAAATTTTTGTATAGTGGCCGAGAGTTTTATTGCTTAGACTTTTAGATAAATCTCCTTCTCCTTTCTTACTTAGGACTTAGCTTAATTAATTAATTAGATAATATTTGACTAATAAAAATTAAATAGACGAGGACATTTAATTTTTATTTGATTAGATAAATTAAATAGACAGGGACATCTACTTAATTTTTATTTGATTCAAAGAATTAGTCGAGCTAAAAGAAATGAATGGTAAATATCATGCTTTAATAAAGAAATGGGGCGCTACAACCTACCCTCTTAAAACTATTTTCGTCCTCGGAAATATAAGCATCTAGAGTTACTGGATGAAGCTCCTCTTTAAAAGAAAATTACGAATTAAAAGATTATTACCTAGTTACTTCCTTGGCTAACTTCGCCTATAAACAAGAGTTCTTATTCTGTCTTCTTACTTACGAATTCCATATGTCTTTCCCTTTTCTTCCCAGCGTCGGCCCAAAAAGAGTACTACGTCGTAGAAGCTGACTCGAGCTGTTCCCCTAGCCCGAGGGGATTCTTCGCTCATCCTATTAAGTTCGCCGCAAATTCCTTCTGCCACAGGTTTCCATGATGGTGGCAGGATGTTCAAGAGCTTTGTGATCCCATCTTTGTGTGAGAGCAGAAGTCCCAACCCTCTCAATTCTTCTCATCGCTCGAGTACCTCTTGAATATTCTCTCCTACTGACAACCCTTCGTTCAACACGAGCTCTTGGAATTCTCGAATCTTCCTTACGATAATGATGTCGGGCCCTAGGCTTGACTTTCTACAAGTCTTTAGCATGCACACCATCTGTATAATTTATGCGAGCAAATATACTTATGTAAGAAATGACATGTTTATATAATTTATGCTACACAGTTTTCTATGAACTCGCAACAAGGTACTTAAATATCAGAATTTGTATCCTAATGAGAGTCTCAAAACTCGGGACTTAACTAGAGTTCAAATTTCTCGTAGCTAGAATTCGACACCATTGGACTTCCGCCAAGAGTTACCTTTTGGTTCCTTATCTAGTTGTGCTTTCCATCCCGAGGTGGCCGTAGGCACCTCCTCCTACGTCAGGTTTCGATTCCGGGACGTGCGGGTTATGGGCCCACACGCTTCCGCTGCGCCACGCTAATGAATCCGCAAAAGAACTCATGAGGGTGAAGTCTCGCTCATACTCATCCATCGTCTTGTCGCCATGGAGCAGATCCCAGAAATCTCTCTCCATGCGCTCACAGAAATGCTGGGGATAGTACTTCTCAGCTACAATCTCCTTCAGTCGATCCGAGGTCAAAGCATCACGCTAGTCAGCTGGCCTCAGCCTCCAATAGTCTGACCGCCAATTGTCAGCGTCACCATCCAGCTGAAAATTCGTGCAAGCAAGCACGTTGAAAATGTGCTCTAGCTTACGGTACCACTCGCCTACTGCAGATGGTCCCTCATGTCCAGTGAACACAGACTGCTGCAGAGTGTGGAAATGGGACACTATTTGTGCTTGGATAAGCCTTGGTGCGGGCTAACCCTGGCCTGCGTTTTGTTGTCTTCTGGCCATTGCTGACAGAAGGCACTTTTAAAGTCATAGAATAAAAATCGAATCCTAACAAAAGTTTCAACTTGTCTAAAGTTCAAATCTTAACTAGAATTCAAAACGCAACCTTGCTAGAGTTCGAAGATCTTTATTGGAGGGTAAGTCCTATGCCCCAAAACAATATGCTCATTAATAACTTGACTCGTGTTACTTACCTTGGAGTTGGCGCGGCACGAAGGTGGCGAGTAGTCAACTTTTTGACAATTTTCTAACTTTAATATTTTACAAGATACAGAATCGTTGACCTGCTCTGATACCACTGTTTGTCCCATTTTTGTTGCATTTTTCGTAGTTATTTTTCCTTTCTTTTTCCCCCGTTTTAGGTATTTTAGTTGGTTTTTAGTGCGTTTTGTAGTTTATTTCGTGGTTTGCTTTATTTTGGTCTTTCTTGTGTTTTCCGTATATTTTTTCGATTTTTCTTTGTTTATGGTGTGTAGGTCGGAAGCCCCGGGACCACCGTATTTTAGGTAAAAATTAGTCGGGCAAGCGTAACTAAATAGAAGAGTTCGTTGGTAGCACACAGGAAAAAGCGGAATCGAATTCCGATACCGGACGAGCCTGAACGACTCCAAAACATGTAGTACCAGCCTGCCCAGCACTGCGCCGNCGCGAGACCGCACCCTGCCGCGCCGCGCCACCTGTGCCACGCCGTGCCAACGCGCCTGCTATATATATTGGTCACGAGATCGCGAGCAAATTATCTTTTCTCGACCCGACAAATCACAGAAACCCTACCCCTCTCTTTTTCACTCGTCTTTCATATTTCTCTCATCGTTTTTGACGTAGAACACGGATTTGATCTAGAATCTTTCTATTGCTTGGGATTTAAGCCTGTTTATTAGATTCAACTGTGGGATTTTATCATTCGTAAGATTTTTTTTTTCATTTAGCTTGATGAATATGAATTCCTGGGTTGATATAAATTCTTGTGTTGATTATTTGAGTATGAGTAGCTAAATTCATATGCTAGGGATAGAAGATTGATGTTTTGATTTCTATTGCGATTGTGGGCATTCGTTGATTGTTCTTTTCATGCGAGTTGATCTTTCTAAAGGGTTTTTCAACTGTCAGGCTTGAGTATTGATAATTGTTGAAGGGTGACACTTTAACTTACAATTGTTTCAATTGAATTTGATTTATTCGTGCTTGAAATTGGTGAATCTATTTGATTAGTCGGTTAACCACCCTCTAGTCTACTTTAATCGACTCTTAGAACCGAAAGGGGAGGAGTCGGTCGAAATAGGCTCGTATGAACTAGGCTTGTTCGTAACTGTATTGCCTAGGAGTTAAATGAATTATTAATTTGCCGTTCTAGTTTGTTCTCTTGTTACGAAAAGTTAGAGAATGAGTACTTGAACGTGTCGATTATTCAAATCACTTAGCTGAACAATCACTTGCCCATCAATTGCAATTCGAATCAAAACGGATCTCCTCGACTCCCTAGTTTCTCAAATCCTAATTGTTCTTTGTTACTTGCTATTCTTTTTATTATTGCTTCATTTGAATTTTCGCAGTAGTTGATAATTAAACCAAAACCAATCTTTGATTTAGAATGTTTAGGAATTTTATTTATTTTATTAGTGCTTGAATAAACGTGCATAATAATCCGGCTAACCTTCCTCGTGAGACACGACCCGGTGTTCGAATCTTTTGATTCTACTCCGGAAATATATTTACAACAACCACAATGTAAGCACCCTCTTCTTATTTCTTAAGCTTCTAAATTTCTGAAGTAATTTTTCTTTTCTCAAAAACATTTTGAAAACTCTATGGTACTTATAGTAAAACCTTTTCTTCTTAACTTTGTGGAAAACTTCTTTCTTATAAACTAAGCTCAAATTTGCTCTTGTACTCTTATGGAAACTCTCTTCCCAAATGTTAACTCAACTTCTCAAAACTCATCTCAGAACTCATACTTAAATTGTAAAGC